GGGAACACCGCTGGGCTCCTCCAGACTCCTGGACATCCAGCATGTAGCCTTAGCAGCCTAGTCTTTATTCTGTGGGCACTACATAAGCCAGAAAAACTTTCCACTCCCAAAGAATTGTAGAGATTTCTCTTCAGTGATTCAAAGCATGCACTGACTTTTGCAATCTGTAGATCATCATTTATAATGCTGCATCTTAATGGCATTAATTAATTATAGGAAATTAAAAAGTTTTTAAAACTAAAGGTGGGATTTTCCTAATCACTTAAGTGATTTTCAGTGTGACTTAGGATCATTAGTTGCTTAGAATAGATCTGCACTAAGTATTAAAACTTGCAGGAGTAACACTCAGAGCTTGGGTCTACAGGTGCCTGCCACAATGCTATAAACAGCTGTATAGATTTCAGGGTTGTGCTAGAGCTCAGTCAGAGCAGTGGGTTTTAGAGACTGAGTGCCAGCCCAAACTGCAAGGTTAACCCTGTTGTTTTTAATGCTATAACATAAGCCCTGTGAGACCATGTCTGTAGGTGTGGTCTCTGAGACTTGCTGCCTTGGATTTTAAAATGCAGTGTTGATGCACCCCCAGGCACTTTTGAAAAATCTTGTCCTAGGAGTACAATGGAAAAGAGTCATTTTAAAGCAGTTTTGATATGCAGCTTCTTCCATAGATGATGATTTCATTCCATTTTGTTGCCTAAATATCTTTGTTTCTCTTAGCATTACAATTAGGATTTATATGGTTCCATGTGCTTTATTATAATTAATGTAAGCCATTGTCTCTTTGTCAAGATACATTGTATGACTCCCATAGATACTGCTGGGTCAAGTTAAGTGTGGTAATATCTGTTGGTAAGCAAGACAACATTTTGAGTTTACACAGAGCCCTTCCAATAAAAGTTGTTACCTCGCCCAACGTGTCTCTCTAATATCCTGGGATCACCATGCCTACATTGTTACTATCGGTTTGATGCAATTTGTTTAATTAGAAACTCACAGAAATTCCTTGAAATACATGGATGAGTAACAAAGATTGCATACATTAGCAATCTATTTAAGAAATATTTAAAGGAATATTTAAGTCCACACTCATTCGATATAAATGAAGAAAAAATTACTTCCAGGCATTCTTTGACCTTTTGGAGATAATCTGAGTGGATCTATAGACACATTCAAACTCCAACCATTTTTCTTCTGAATCAGTGATAAATTATAAATGGCTTCTTATCTAATTGAATGGTAGATAATAAATGGGTATATAATAATTTTCCTTGTGTATTTCTTCCTTCTTGATGAAATGTATTGATCACAAACAACAGAAACAAAAATGAATATTATAGCAGTCTTGCTGCAGTATGTTTAAATGCAAATAAATTAATGACACAGAGCTTTTGGTTCCTAACCAAAAACAAAAATAAACATGAATACTTTAGGAATCTTTTCTCATTGTTTGGACCAAGTAAAATAAATATGTTCTGTTTTTAGAACATTTGGAGGCTAGAACCAAATGCTATTATAGGCAGAAGCCCCTGATTAGGGCTAGCACCAGCCAATGCAAACAGAGGTTGCTTTGCAGCAGCAGCAGCCCCTGTCCATGGGGGATGGGAAGAGGGGGACGGATCCAGCTCCATATTGGGACCCCCCACGGACAGAGGCTGCTACTGGAGCAGCCTTCCCTACCTCCCAGCCACACTACCTCTTACAAAGACAGTGGGGGTGCAGGCAGCACCATGGAGATGGTACTGGGGGAACTGGTTTTTAAGCCAGCTTCCCCCAGCACTGGCTCCTGTTCCCCTTGTGGGAAGCATAACCAGCAAAGGGAGGGAAGTGATTAGTTGAGTACGCCATTCGACTACCCAGTAAGCTTATGTTTATCGGGTAGTTGAATAGTTGACTACTTGTTTACATCCCTTGTTTTGGGAGTGATGTCACTGAGCACTTGAAGAAACATTAATGTCATGACCTTGATTCAGCATCCCTTAAAAACATTAGCGTTAATATTGTTCAGAAGTTTGAGAACTGCAAGATAAGTGCAAGCTGCTTTATGGCGGTGCCTTGTGGGATGCATCTCTTCAGTGATGGCACCTCCTTGCAATTCTAAAGCCCTTAGAATCCCCTCTGTGCAATGTCGAAGCCTCTAGTTCCACCATCTCACCACAGGGCAGAAGTTTTGATCTCTTCTGCTCAGTA